AGGTTGGTAAAAATAAAACTGTGATTATATAGATTTGTGACTGTAGAGGAGGTGACTATAGAGAGGTTCGACTGTATTAATAAATTTTAAAATAAATATTTTATAAATAATAAAAAATTATACTTACTATATTTATAGAATGATTTATTAATCATTCCAATTTGTCTTGTATTGAATATTTATATAATCCTTATTTCTTTTTAAAAACATTAATTTTTCTACTAAATTAGGATTTAATGATGTTCTTTCAGATGAAATTAATTTACCAGCATCAGAAAATAATCTTTCTGATGATACAGATGTAGCTGGAATTGATAAATATTTCAATGCAAGTTGAGATAATTTTGGATAATGAATTTTGTTAATTTGCTACCATTTAAAAGGATCATGTTCTTCTAAAATTAGAAGAATATTTTCATTTAGATAGCGAGTAAATTCATCATATACTGGAGTCAGAATTGTTTGATTTCTTTCTGCAAAAATACTAGCCAATGCAAATTTACTTGTTGAAGCTTGATATGATATTGGATTGTATAATATATTATTTGTAGTAATGGTTTCATATTCTTTTTTAATTTCATCTATTGCTTGAATTTTTGATTCCTAATAATAAAATTAGTATTTTATATTAATAAAAATATTATAATTAATAAATTTGCCTGAGTTAGAAAGTTTAAATCTTTAAATCTAAGATCGAAAAATGATGCATAAATTCCAATATCATTTGGACAATTCCATCGTGAAGCTAAATCTTCTTTAATAATTTGCTGTATCTGTATAGCTTCTGAAGTACTAAAATTAGTAGATTTATTCAAAAGTAAATTTTGAAGATTAACCATACATGGATATATTAAATTAAGTGTTGAATAATATTGACCACTAAATAATTTAGTCTGTTGGTCAAATTGCTCAAGTAATTGAGCTATTTCTTTAATAACTTTTCATTTATAAATTGATGGAATTAATTCTTCTAATATTTCTTCTTCATGCCTAATTCTACTACTTATATCTTGAAGTAAATTTTCTTTAAGTATAATAATAGCAGATTTTAATATAATAAGACGCTCAAATGCATAATAAATAGAATTCCATCTAGTATTATTTGCTTTAACAATATTAAGAATAATATATTCCTCATCGTCATCTAATTTATTATTGTTATTTTCTTGTTGATTAATTAAATCAAGTTGTGCTTCTTTAAGTTGTTGTTTTTTATTTTGAGCTAAAAAGTTAATTAAATTTTTATATTTAGTTACTAACTGATCTATTTCTTTAATTTCTTTAATAATACTTAGCTGAAGAGTATGTGCACTACAAGGTATATGTGTTCTGATTCTAAGTTGATTAATTGCTAATTTGATATTACTTCCATTATCAGTAACAATAGCATATAATTTAGATTCAAGCTGAAATTTATTAATAAGTTTTTCACCTTCTTCTTTAATTACTGTTGCAGTATAAGGATATGGAATTTCTTTAATAGCCAAAAAAATTTTACAAGGAATAAAATCACAAGTTGTCCAATGTAATATAACTTCTAAATAAGATATATGTGCTGCAGAACTCCATAAATCAAGTGTCATGCTAACATAATTAATTTTACTAATTTTTTGTTGAATTTCTATAATATCATCATCATAAACTTCATCAATTTTATCTTTTAAAACTGGTTTACAAGGAAGGTTATATTTAGGATCCAAATCATGTGAATATTTAATAAAATCTTTATTCTCAACAATAGAAAGTGGTTGAACATATTAATTATAAATCTTAGAAGACCATTATTTAATTTTTGTGCATGTAATTTAGAATGTGGTTTTGTATTTTCTAAAGATTGATGTAATGTTAATTGACCTTGTGATCTTGGTGATTTTTTTAATTCATCTGCTGGTTGTTTATTTAATGAAGCTTTAATTATTTGATATTTATTATAAAGATGAGTTTTTATTGTTGATGGAGTATTATGATAACCAAGAACTGTATTACAATAGCAACTTGAAAACAAACTTTTCCATCAATGGGTTGAGAAAAAAATTTCCATACAAATGATGATTTTGGTTTAGTTGAAGTTCTGGTTCTTTTTTTTCTTTTTGCTGGTAATAAAGGCTCAAAAGATTTATTTAAATTAGATTCCTGCAAAGTTTCTTTATCACTATTATAAATATCCTGAAAATTATCTTCTTAATTATTATTTTCATCTTCATTATAATCATCATCAAAAATATTATCATTATCAGAAATATAATCTAAAGAATAATCTTCACTAAGTCTATCATCATCAGTTAATAAAACACTTTGTTGCTTTTCAAGTTGACGATGTTTAGCTCTTGTTGTAGTGACCATAATGATATGAACAAAAAATGATAAAACACTTTATTGAAATATAATTGAATTCTTTAAATAATGTACATATTTATTGAGTCAAAATTCAAATGACAGTCTTAAATATAAATGCAACAAAACTAAATATACAAATCAGATAAGATTCGCATGTTTTAGCTTTGTAACATTTAGATTAAACAAACCCAGTTATTATAAAAAGCCAAATACAAATTATAGGCTTAAAGCTTTAATAAAATAATACGCATTAATAACAGACATAGCCATTATAAAATGGCTAAGTATAAACTATCAGCCTGAAGTTCAAATACAATAATACGCATTAATAACAAAGATAGCTGTTAAAAATGGCTAAGTGCAAACTATCAGTTTAAAGTTTTATTATGATAATTCATATTAATAATAAAACATAACAACTATAAAATGGCTAAGTACAAACTATGGGCTTAATGTTTTTAATAACATAATGTGATTTAATAATAAACACAGCCATAACATTTTCTTAAGTATGTATCTGAAAGCAAAGAATATTTATTAAAATTTAGACTTCTAAATAGATAATATAAAACGATTATATTCTTTAGAATCGATTCTAAGTACAGAATCGATTCTTGAATATTTAATCGTTTGTAGAAACGATTAAAACGTTTATCCAGAAATAAGAATCGATTCTAATTCGATTAACGATTAAAACGATTATTATAGAATCGATTCTCACCCCTAGTCGGACATGATCTATGACAAAAAAATAATATATTTTTGGTAAAATTCGAATACTAAAGGCTTTGGTCAGGGACAGGGAATACTTTCAGTATAAAATTGGAAATTTTTATCAATCATTCTATTTTATTCCAATACCACCAAAAGAGCTAATAAAGATTCAATTTTCAGAATAATTTTCAGTTTCCGAAAAATATCATGTAATAAATAGCGAGATTTAATTGGCTATAATTTGTAATTTATTCCGTTTAATTCTTAAAAAAAGTATTCACCGTCCCTGGCCTTGGTAGCGTCATATACATAGTTTAAATTACTTCCATATGTTTTGTCCTAAAAAAAAATAAGAAAATTTGCAGTAATTTTTTTTTTTCCTTTTTCTTTTTCTTTTTTCTTTTTTT